TTTTGAGAAAATCAAAAACTACAAACATTCGTGAAAATTCACGTTTTTTCGATGCATCGGCGATCCCCAGCAGAATGTTTTGTCTCTAGTCTCTTAACAAAATAGTTTCAACAAGAGTTATTGCAGGCCGGCCGGATTTACGGCGACATACTATAGTATACGGCCGTGAATCTTTGACCTGGGTCATTATATGCATCGTTGTCAAAACATAAATGTTACAATTCACATCATTATCAACCTACTAACAAGCTTTTAGTTCAATAAACAAACAGTTATAGATAGACTAAATGATACGAAGTATAAAAAGATATGTTATTCGAATAATTGTACTACACGAAAAATGTGACTTGAATTTCGTTTAGGGTCTACCTGGAAAGCAAAGTTTTATAAGCTAAAATTCCTACTTTTTGTCCGTTAATTTAGCAAACAGAGCTAGATAAGGTTAAAAAACATTTCGTCACACACTTTGACATGGACAACATTCCCTGAAAATTTGCTCCAGATTGGACTTTTGGTTGCAGAGATATGTTTTCGACAGGGGAACCTTAATGAATTTTAGGTTTTAACCTTTGAAACCTAAAACCCTTTAAACCGGTGGTTCGAATCACCCTCTCACAAGTCAAAATGTTTCTTTTTTTCGGGGGAACGGCGATCTCCTTGGGTTTTCCCCAAAATGCCATGATAGACTTCCAGGTAGATTTACCCCAGTGTCTTCTACAAAATGCTGAAAACCGCTTGTTTCTATCCATTTTCAGAAATGGATAGTAGTACAGATGAGATGAAAACGTCTCATTTGGATGAACGAAATATAAAAGAATTTTCTTTTTACTGTTCCTCTACAGAACTGAGGTAGTACACAAAAATAACAGAAGTATAAAAATAGAAATAAATAGATATTTACAGCGAACTCATGTGCCCTAACCACCAATACACGACACTAATTTTTTCCATGATTTTGTATGATTATGTCGTTTGTTTTCCGTACTCGAACTGGATTTTTCAGCTAATGCTGATGGTAATAATTGTGTCCGTTAGATAAATCACTCACTTGCTACCGTTTTGCATAAAGTATTTCTAATGTCAAGGTGCTCTAGGACACGTTTCTGACCACTTTGTATATATGAAATTGTAGCGCGAGAAATTCTCTATCGAATGATATATGTACCGTCGTGGATAGTGGTCAAGTGTGGAGTGCAGGTTCGTCACCGTTGAAGAAAGAAGAGCAAAACTTTGGTTACAGTAAATTCGACCTAGTTTTTTCTTGGAGTGACTCCAAGGTCTGTCGAGTGGCTAGAAATGTTCTCTTGTTTATTCTGCATCTAACCATGTGTGTCTCGATGGGATTCGAGGAGGGGCCGATTTCATCAAATAATCGCCCCCGTCCTTTCTGAAAACTAGTTCCTAGAAAACCAGGTCTTCGAAGGGCTATGAGCAACCTCCATGGTCATATTCGTAATCAGCATGGTGGATAACCTATAACTCACTAGGTTCCGACCAAAAAGCGTTTAATCACTTGGAAAGGTTTCCTCGTTATAGAGTAAATATTTCTGAGTAAAATGAGACATCTCTGAGTTCTCCATGAGAATTCTTCATTAAACTGTACTTAATTTGGTCCCAAAGGCCTTTTTTTTTATTTTTCTTGAAAATTTCGATAATTTTGGTGCGTTTAACGCTTTTGAGCCTTTCTAAACTTGAGTACAGTTCAATGAAGAAAGGCCATGGAAAACTCAAAGATGTCTCATTTTGCAAAGAAGTATTAGTTCTATCAAACTAAGTTGTTAGAAAAACATTTCCGATTAAATCCAGAGACTTGGTTTTAGTTTCTTAGTTTTCCACAGATACTAAGTCTATAAATTTTGATGCAGTTTTCGCGCACACACAGCTTCTGACACAAAACTCTTGTAGACACTCATCTCTTTTTCAAGATTGGCTTCAGCTATCGGCGCCAATGAAAGAGATCGAAAATAGGAGTAACTGTAGAACGTAATATCCGTGAACAGTCCATAGTTAAAAAAATGAGTACTAGACGCGTTTCAAACTGTCGCTGAGTCGGGATTATATCTGTATTCTTTTAATATGGAGACAAAAATATGTACATAAATACCACCATCATCTAAGGCTATCTGTCACTAGCGACAAGATGTTAGGAAAAATTTTAGTTTTCAATGTGGATGAATCAAATGAAGGCGAATTCCTTCCAGATTCTGATGATTAGTTAATCATGGTTATAGCAGTTCTGCACTTCATTACCTCATTATATAAATAGAATAGTCTAAAGAATGCAAATTCGTATTACTTTTTGGAGACCAACAATCATTGTCGATAAAGGAAGTGGAGATAATTCGATTGACACTATTACTGTTTACCCAAATTGTAATATATTTGCCATATTTTGCAGAAAAAGATTCCTTTAATTTTTAAGCAATACAGCTGTCAATACCAAAGATAACATTCGAAGCCAAGTCCATGAAAGTCAATTTTGATTTAATAAAAACAAGAGAACCACAGATAGTGTTCGATGTTCCTATTGACGAAGATGATATTAGAATGGGTGCATCGGATAAATCATTTCTATTTTATGGTAATGATTCAAAGAAATTAGATTTATATGACCAAACTGGTTTGAAGCATACTGAGAAATTAACTATTACAAGTAAGATTTGGGAGATTGTTTGGTCATCGCATTTCGATAGGTATTTATTACAAGCGGATACTTCATTTTATACATATGATGAGCAAAATCATCAATTTCAGCTTCTTAAACAAATTAAACCCGTTGAGCCAATAATAATGTTTTGTGGTTGTACTTGTTTCGAAGAAATTTTATTTATTTATTATGAAGGTTGGGGTTGTCGAATAGAAGAATGGAATATGACTGATTTCAGCATAAGAAAGTACTGGAAGAATGAAACTGAAAGGCGTATTATTCAAATGCTATTTTCTATTAAAAATCCAAATCATATTGGAGTTACTGTTAGTGATCAAAAAGACATTCGTCGATTTGAATTACGTGACAGAGATATGAAAATATTGAAAGTTGTTAACATAGATCGATGTTCATGTCCCATACCAATACCGACAACAGGTGATTGGTTGATTTCCCATAGGGATTCCAAAGTTTTCAGTCTAGTTAAAGACGACTGTACATCAGAAACGATTATTGAATATAATGAGAATGTTGAAAAAGCCGTATTTCTTGCTGATTATAATTGTTTGGCCATTGCAACACAAAATAATCAATTACGTTTTTATTACGTTTTATAAAAGCGCACTATCTTTCACACTGCTAAAATATCCTTTGACGAACGAATCATGATATTTACTTATGTTTTGTGTATATGTTTATAGGAGATCTTTACAAGATCAATATGATACTTTCGAAAGACTTTAGCATTTTATAAATTGGAATGACTATGACGTGTTGAGACTATTTCTCATGGAAGTATTACTAATATTTTTGTTACTGCGTGCTCGTACGATTTTTCCAAAACACACATTGAGCATTGCCGATGGCTTATAATTTCAAAAAGGAGTATGTGCGCAAAATATTTTTTTCTTTGTTGTTGTAGTCGTTGAAGTACTTTTGAATGATACATAATTTGTTGCAATCTATGCGCTCAGACAAAGAAAAAGAATTTTCTGCTCAAAAATGTCTTTGAAAAGCCTAGAAAATGTTGTTTGTAAAGTAACTTAATACTTGAAGAAACAAGAAAAAAAATTATTATTCGAGTAGCTTAGAAGATATTAAAGATTTTCTACATTAGATTCAGATTATGAATGATGGATGCACGGGGGTAGGTCAACTATCTTTTCATCTTCCTCTTCCTTATGTTCTCGGTTGAGGGTCATTCATTTAATATGCATGTTTCTCCTGTTGTACAATATTTGGTAATGATAAGTGTTTTTCTTCTTTATATACATATATACAGTATGGGGTGTTTAGCCGTCTGTCCCATAGCGCACTGCAGTACGCGATAAAAAATCAGTCGTAATTAGGGGTGGCAGTGTCACTCTTACTCATGTTTTACATTACCGAGCAAAGTAGTACTGTAAATTCTTTCGTTCTTTCGATTCTTGAGTTATTCAACATATAACCGAAGGCTTCACAATCTGAAAAAGATAGTAGAAATTTCAGCAGGACTAAAAGAGAAAATGTTCGTCTGACTTTTCAAAGTTTTTGGTAGAAATATTCATCCAAGAACACGTTTGAAAATCTTTCGAATAGTCTTTTGAAGAAAAATTTTCTTGTATTACTTTACTAGAAAGTAACACTAATTTTATGAATATTCCTATTCCCAGCAACAGTAATCCTTTCAGTTACTATTACTGTTGGTGGGAATATGAATGAGAGAATTGCATTTGGATGGTACCGTTTCGAAAAGAATACCGGACAAAAACCATTTGCGAATAAAAACATTCTGGATCATATATTAAATAGTACCACTTTCGAGGTTTGTGGAGAAAAAAATTCCCAGCACTTGTTCGTATATTAGCTGAGAAGGACCCTGCCGGTTTTCAAAAGTATGTCGAAGCAGAAAGCTATATATCAGGTTTTGTAGAGCTTGTCGCGACGCATCTAAATCTGTATTGGGTTTAGGTTAATACCTTCTGATTACCGAGATATGGGTGTCATCATGTTCTTAGTCTTTAATCGGTATTGGTGTAAGAGGGAGAGTCGAGATTTGGTAATGTAGTTCAATGAGATGTTGTCTTACCTATATTCTTGTAAAGCAATGAAAACTGTACAAACTAGTTCGGTAATAGGGAATAGGCTAGTTCTTCTAGGAAAAATGGGTCATTTATGAAAAAAAATCGATCATACCCATATCACATGTGCGCAGTAAAATAACTGTGAAACCCAAACGATATACAGAAACAAATTCTAATTTTGTCGAAAACTGTATGAGTATGAGCTCTATCTGCCACGTTCATATCGAGGTCTGAAGTCCATCTGCGTCTATGGAAAAAAAAATCTTGAAAAAACATGCACCACAAAAAAAATTTTCTAGGATAAAAACTGAACGAGTTATTATCAAAATAATACGGAATTTTCGAAAGTATTTCGAAAAAACACATTTTTTTATCACATGGAAAAACAAGGAAGAAAAGGGTAAAAGTTTGACCTCAAATGGACCACTCATCATCGAGTTATAGACAAAATAATTTTTTAAATCTCGCAGAACATTTTGTCTGAAAACAACATTGTATAGCATATTCAGTAATCTTTAAGTAGGTTGGAGGAAAACCCCTGTTTCTTTCGAGAGGCGGCGCCAAAATCACTCTGTTTTGGCCTTGTTTCGTTTATATCTCGACAACCAAATGAGATAGAAACTTGTCTTTTTCAGTACTTAATAAGTATCTTTAAACAAAAAATCTAAAAAGATTATTAAGTTTTGTTCCGTAGAACGGTTTTTGTAAGCAAAACAATTGGTGAACAGCAACGGTATAATGCCAATTCTCTAGAATTTATACAATATTTGCATTACTGATAGCAGTAATGTGCCACCCCTAGTCGTGAAAGCTGTGAATTATGTGAAATATGTGGGAAACGACGAATATAACAGCAGGGCAACAAAATAGGTAGCACATCCAAAGCATTAGAAAATTTGGTGCTTGCTCCGCGCTGAACCAAATTGGATAAAAATTGGGCGCCAGATGCAAAACTCGCCGACTTCTTATTTTGTAGAAAAATATTTTCTCCACATCTGTGGTGACTCAAAAATAGTTTATATGTTCAGATCTTTGAGATTTGTATCAAAATTTCGAAAAGTAACAAAATGATGAAACCTATACCTAACTCCAATATTTGATTTAAAAGTACATCGTGCTTGTGTTTTGAAAAGCTCTATTGTATATGAATCGATGCAGAATTGTCTGCTCTACAGAATGAACCTAGATTTATTTTGGGACTGCCATATGCGTAGTCTTTTCTTTAAAAATACTCAAAAAAATGCATATTTGAAAATATGAAATGTTTAAGTTTTCTATTATTTAGTCCTAGATAACTAAACATATTACTATGTCTAAATACATGATGTTATAGAGTAAACATCGCTCTTTCAAATGAGCCATGAACCAGTCGTAGGAGTTTCACAGTTTTTGAGAAAATCAAAAACTACAAACATTCGTGAAAATTCACGTTTTTTCGATGCATCGGCGATCCCCAGCAGAATGTTTTGTCTCTAGTCTCTTAACAAAATAGTTTCAACAAGAGTTATTGCAGGTTGGCCGGATTTACGGCGACATACTATATAGGAGATCTCTACACGACCAATATGTTACTTTCGAAAGACTTCAGTATTTTATAAATAGGAATGACTATGATGTGTTGAGACTATTTCTCATGGAAGTATTACCAATATTTTTGTCACTGCATGCTCGTAAGATTTTTCCAAAACACACATTGAGCATTGCCGATGACTTATAATTTCAAAAAGGAGTATGTGCGCAAAATATTTTTTTCTTTGTTGTTGTAGCCGTTGAAGGACTTTTGAATGGTACATAATTTGTTTGCGTTCAGACAAAGAAAAAGTTGGAAATACGGATCCCCAGTGAACCAGTACAGGTACATACTTCCACTAAGTTTTGCCGAATCTCGTAAAACCAATATTGTAGGAAATTTTCTGCTCAAAAATGTCTTTGAAAAGCCTAGAAAATGTTGTTTGTAAAGTAACTCAATACTTGAAGAAACAAGAAAAAAAATTATTATCCGAGTAGC